GACCAAACTCTATATATTATAACTCTATAATTTTCCCTGTTTTAATATGGTTACTCTTTTAGTAGTGTGTGCTTTTATTAGTGTATGCTTCAGTTTCAGGTGCTTTCATGACAAGTGAGGTTTATAGTTGCTGTAAATTATATACTTTGAGGCTTAACGCTCTTTTAATGTGTTGAAAGGGTCACTATTTTTGACAAGCTGCTAAAAAAAGACTTAGAGAAATGGATTTAATGCTGTGAACTGCTAGGTGCTATATAAAGCACTGCATTAGGCAGTGAAGTAGCCAGATAGAGGCCCCTGCCTGACAATCAATTACAAAAGTTTTGAAGCTATTTCTGTAGTTCTGTAGAGCTGCTTTGAGAGGTTCTTTAAGGCTGCCACCTTCTCATTCAGTACTGTTTTGAGTTTTTGCTGTTGTTGTTTTTGTAATACATAAGCATTGCATCTATATCAGTTGCAATCTGATGTATTTTAATGTTTGCAACTTTATACTATCACCCTAAATGGCAGGAAATGAAAAGTTGAACCCTTATTTTATCTGTTTGGGTTAGGCAGAATACATTTTCTCCTAAAAACCTAAAGTCTTAAAAGTAAGATTGGCATGGTTGTTGGTGCCCGCCGTGCTGGTCTAAGTATTTTAGAAACTGCTGATTTACTGGGATTGTCACTTACTACCATCTCCTGGGTTTACTATACAGAGAGTGGTCCGAAAAATAGAAAATGTCAAGTGAGCGGCAGTTCTGTGGGCGCAAATGCCTTGTTGATGCCAACGGTCAGAGGAAAATGGCCAGACTGGTTCGAGCTGATAGAAAGGCAACAGCAACTCAAATAATCACTTGTTACAACCGCGGTATCCAGAAGAGCATTTCTGAATGCACAACATGTCCTACCTTGAGGTTGATTGGGCTACAGCAGGAGAAGATCATACCGGCTGCCCCTCCTGTTAGCTTAGAACAGGAAACTGAGGTTACAATTCACACAGGCTCACCAAAATTGGACAATAGAAGATTGAAAAATGTTGCCTGGTCTGATGAGTCTCCATTTTTGTTGCAACATTGGGATGATAGCCTCAGAATTTGGCATCAACAACATGAAAGCATGGATCCATCCTGCCTTGTATCAGGTTCAGGCTGCTGGTGGTGTTGTTATGGTGTGGGGGAATATTTTCTTGGCACACTTTGGGCCCATCGGTACCAATTGAGCATCATGTTAATGCCACAGTTCACCTGAGTAGTCTTGCTGACCATGTCCATCCCTTTATGACCACAGTGTACCCATCTTCTGATGGCTACTTCCACCAGTAAAACTCACCATGTCATAAAGCGCGAATCATATCTGACTGGTTTTTTGAACATCACAATGAGTTTGACTTACTGTACTCACTGTACTCAAATGGCTTCCACAGTCAACAGATCTCAGTCTAATAGAGCAGCCTGGGATGTGGTGGAACGAGAGATTCGCATCATAGATGTACATCCGACAAACCTGCAGCAACTGTGTGATGCTATCATGTCAGTATAGATCAAAATCTTTTGAGGAATATTTTCAGTACCTTGTTGAATCTATGCCACGAATGATTAAGGCAGAAGGGGGTTCAACCTGGTACTAGTAAGGTGTACCTAATAAAGTGGCCAGTGAGTGTATATATAGAATATTTAATTGGGGCCAATTGCATAAGAGGAACCAAGCAACTATAGTAATTGTCAGAATGCATTTTATTCACATTAATACACGTAAAAACAGTATATATGTACATGCAACATATGTCAGCCAAACAAACAAAATAATACAAATTTTTTTTTTTCAAAAAATATTTCACAATTTTCAATCTTAGATCAATTACTTTGACTTTCAAGATTGTGCATTACTCATTTTATTTATTTTTTGTTTGACACATTCTTGGCTGTTTGTCTGGCCAGGTGCGGTCTGGGAAACCAGGACAAACATGTCAAAAAGTGACATGATGTGTCTGTCAGGCAAAAGGCCGCTAACCCAAATATACCCTGACATATGATTTCCATAAACAAATGAATGCGAGTGAATCGCAGACTGGATTCTGCCTCCGTGTCTGTGTCGCTTTCTCTAAATGACAGCTGACGAGTCGCCGGGCAGGTGTGGGACTCGCTGTAACGAGCAGTTAAGGCTCAACGCCTCAACACTTTCACACCTGAGAGTCAAAACCCAGCAATCCCTTAAGAAATGTCACTTACTACAACCAGCCGCAGAGCACTCGAGCTGTTTAAGCAGAGAGTTTGGCTCTTGATTGTCAGTAGCTGTGTTTCCATTCAAACTTGTGAATTTAAATTATGCACAAAATTATAATATTGCATAAAAAAATTTAAGAATAAAATACAGTTTCCATTCCATGTGAAAGAAAAAATTAAAGTAATTTCTGCGGACACTAGTGTGACATTCGATTTTTGTTTTGCAAGAAAATAATTGATTATTTCTGCAAACTGAGAAACCATGTTATCCATTTTATCCCTAGTAAATGAGTGGCAGACGACACACAGTAACAAACTCATCTCCAGTGGCAGGGCATGCACTGCGGGGGTGGTCCCACATGATGGGGGCCCCGCATGATAAAACTCCACCACATAACCCAATCTGATCTTTGTCAAAGCAATTATGTAAAACAGTTATAGGAGTTAATTATACAAAGCTATTGTAAGAATTTTACTTTGGTGTTTGCGTAATTGAATTGAGATGGGCCCCGTATTTATCAAGAGTTTGAGAATTAGGGGTCGTTCACACCAGGACGCTTTTCACTTGTGCTTATCCGCATTTTTCAAGACTGTATGTAGCAATCATACGCAAACAATTTTTCACTGGCAATCAGCAAAGTGAAACATACAGAATCCCTTTCTGACTTTAGATAGCACCCGATGACCTACTCACACCTACTGTACAGTTCTTCACGATGGACATCCAGCGTTCTCCAGCCTCCGGCACCTAGACTGTAGCTCCACACATGAAGATTGGCCAGAGGAAAAATGGTTGTGCACAACAGAGCCTGGTTTCTCTCAACATTTTTTTCCCTTCACTAAGTTAATTGGTGAAGTTTTTTACCTCACCACTGGCATGCTTAGTTTGGGATTTGTGGAGCTGCGCTTGAATGTATTTACTCTTCAGAGTTTGGACTTTCAGTAGTGAAATCTAAACCACACTAAACTGAATTTTAACTATGAAGTCTGGACTAGAACTTCTATGGTAAGCGGCTTTAAAACAATCTACATTGTAAAAGCACTATAAAAATAAACAAATTGAATTGAATTGAACTTAATAAACTTACAAGTCATGAATATAAGTGAAATGATCTGTCCATTGTGACCATTGATCTGCAACTACTCTCCATAATAACATGATAAAAGTTATTTATCATGTATCTTATTCTCAAGTTGTAAGAGTAAACCTTAAGTAGTGTCAGTCTTATGCCGAGTACACACTGCATGTTTTTCAAAGTTGTTGGATCGCAGTTGTTTTCTCGCTGCACGACTGTCTGGTGTAGCGTTCACATGCTGCTATGTTCATACCGCAAGATGGATCAGTGACAGGAGGATTCACACGGCATGACTACAGCAGAAACACCGACAACATGGGCTGCATTTGAAATCGTATACTTCCTTACTATATATTACACTATGCGAGCAGAGTAATATGTCCCAATTTATAGAATATGTGAGTATGTAAGAAGTACATACTCAGGAGAGATTATAAAGTGCACATTTGATTGACACTACGCTTTTCCATGATGCCATGTGAGAGAATTCTGCAACTGACGCGAGTAGGATGATTATGGGAAATGGCGGATGTAGTACATCCGAGTTTCATTCATTCTACTCACATTCATACAGTATAGAACATACTTTTTTAACAACTTTATAGTAAATTAATTTTAAAATGTAGTAACTACTGAGTAGTAGGTGATTTCGGACACAGCCATTGTCTCTTTCACACTCGAGAGGTTATATGGAAATAACTCAACATCACACGTGAGATCAGAGTTGAGCTGCTGCTGAAGCAAATGTTTCTGTTTAATGGTATTGAAAAGCTTATTTATTCTGAAATTGCGGTCCATAAGTCTTTCCTAAACTCCCCACTTCCTTGTATCTTGCTCTCTTATTGGTTGCATATTGTCGTGTCACTGTCATCTCTCTGATTGCACTTTTGATTATTCACTTTGCCCGTGTTTACATGGACACTGTGACTTTAATACCATTAAGACAATACTCTGATGAAGAGTCTACCATGTAAACAGCGATTATTGATTACAAAATCGTATTAAGACATATGGAGTATTCCTATTTTAGTCCTGTTATTAAAGTACAATACAGTCATGTAAACACATAAATCAAACTATTAGCAATTTGTAGTACTTTTTACATTTTGTGACGGGATTCACCCACGGTGGTCAGGCTTTTGATGACAAACAAATTACATTGTCTTCAAGCAAGAGAGCACATTTTTAGTGCGAGAGGGAAGCAATGACTTTGCTTTCATCCAGTACTTCAGAGTTTGTTACAGAGGCATGAATGAGTGAATGACTTTGTATCCAATGTCATGTGTTTGCATGTGTAGTGTTAGAAATTAACAGCAGTTCAACTTCACATATCACAAAAATGATATGTGATCACATATGGTGCCATGACGAACACAAACTGTTGTTGCGTGAAACACCGGCGAAACTATCATTGAATGGTGACGTAATGATGTTAATCTAACTATGTACTATAACATGTAAAACGGGAACATGAAAGGAACATTCAAAAAGCAACTCATGTAAACATTTTAATCAATAAATAATATTATTGTCTTATTCAGATTAACTGATGTCTGTGATAAGATTGCTGATGTCTGTGTAAACGTAGTCACATTTACCAGGGATTTCACAAAACATTTAAGTGAGTGAAAATCAAGGCTTAAGTTTGATTATGCAACATAAGTTTAAAAAAACACATAGATGGATGATGTAAACATAGCTACTGTGTTGTGTTTTTCAGGTGGCTGAGATGCACGGAGAGCTGATCGAGTTTAATGAGAGGCTTTACCGCTCCCTCATGGCCAAAGACAACCTGATCGCCCAGATGAGACAGGAGCTCATCGACCTGCGCGGCCCGGTAAGCTCATGCAGGCACACATTCAGGCCTCTCTGTGGGTGTGTGAAACCAGAGCTTCACTGAGTGCTTTGCTCTTTTTCGTCTATCTCTGCAGTCCAGCCGCTCTGGGCAGATCACTGTCTGCCCCCTCTTCCATCATTAGCTGTCTCTGCCGATACCCCATTACTTTCCCGTGTCTCCAATGGACACATTTACCTAAGCAGTCAGATAAGGGCAGAAGGGCATGCTCTTTTAAATCGTCCTCAAAAAGTAGCTTTCACCAATAAAGTGTCTAAAACAATCATTGTAAATGCAGGAGTTTCACAAGAATGCATTTTATTGCCTTTACACAAATGAACTTAAAGAATCCAGGATTTAAGTTTTAATTTATATAAATATGCAGATGTTGTGGCTGGCATTTGTTGGCTGGTTGAACAAAACGGAATAGAGGGTGAAACCTTGTATTTTATTCATTTACATTTGCTTCATAACTGGTGTAAAATTAGTTCATTGAAGAGATACATTTCAATATAATACAATGGGGTGTACAGTATGCACACACCCTTTTAATTTTAGTCAGCCAGCCCCAGTGCTTCCAGTTAATTGTCATCCCATACAAAATCACTGCATTTAAGATCTGATTTCTTTCAAAAACTGAGATCTTCACTGCCTGGCTTAAATATAATATAAAGAGGGTATCAGACCAAACCAGAAACACTGCATTAAATTATTATTTTCCATACCATGTTTTTAAAATATGGAAATTAATTTTACCCCAGTATTTTCACTGGAGTTTTTGCGCTAGCTTGCTGCTAACAACGGTGCCTGCGCTTAAACGTTCTTTTTTTTTATTTTTGCGAATTAATAATCAAATGGATACCTAGGTCTATTTATTCATTCATTTATTTTCTTTTCAGCTTAGTCCTTTTATTAATCTGGGGTTGCCACAGCTGAATAAACCGTAAACTTATCCAGCATATGTTTTAAACAGCGGATGCCCTTTCAGCTGCAACCTATCACTGGGAAACATCCATACACAATCATTCACATACATACACTACGGACAATTTAGCCTATTCAGTTAACCTACTTTATATAACATGTTTTTGGACTTGTGGGAGAAAACAGAGCATGCGGAGGAAACCCACGGCAACATGGGGAGAATATGCAAACTCCACATAGAAATACTAACTGACCCAGCAGGGGCTCGAACCAGCGACCTTCTTGCTGTGAGGCAATTGTGCTACCCACTATGTGTATTTAACTGTTTGTGTTTTAATTACATTACAACACAGATGCTGTAAAAGGAACCTCGTAAAATTGAAAATAGTCACATAAAGCTTTCACTGGAAGTTCACCATTGGCTGAAAAACACTAGCTGTGCTTATAGTCCATTAGCCTGCTGGGTTTTTTTTTTTTGTTATGTTGCTTTCTTTTATTTGGTGCCGTTTGAAATCCTCTTTCCCTGAGCATCATGCTGTACATTAATTGATTTATTTTTCTTTTTTCAGATACTTTAACTTGTACATATTGATTTGCTGTATGAAATCTTTTCACTTTTGTAAATAAATTCACTTATTTTTGGTCATATTTGGCTGTCATGTTGCTATTTTGCCTCCAACTCTCATTAAATTGGGGGACATTTAACACCTAGAGCTAAACTTTAAAGTCGTACTGTAGCAAAACCAAGGATATGGTAACAGGGATATGGTTAGCAGAAACAAATGAGTTCTTACCCAAGTGCTGGAACCTCTGGTCATTTGAGGGTCATTAAATAGAGCCAGTTGTAAGTTTAAAATATGTAGGAACATTTAAAGGTGCAGTAGGTAAGTGTCTTCAGAAACATTTTTTGTTGTGCTGGTTAAAAGTCTCTTCACAGTCCAATAGTAATGATTACATTAAATGATCTAAATGTATTTATATGTATTTTTATATTCTGGGTAAGGCATAAAACTAAAAAATGTCCGACCGACATCTCCCATAATTCCGATAAGCAGCTCAGACAGGTCAGCAAATTCTGACTTCTGCGCATCTGTTCACGCTGATCCGCCATTCGTGCGTGCCCGTCTGCATAAGCGGCCGCGCCGTCACGAGACAGACCGGGAGAAATCAAATGCTGAATTGAAACTTTTAAAAACCTGAATCAATATTGGAGTTACTTTAGCACCCTGGAGGAAGAACGACACCATGGCTGAAGTATTACTGTTAGACCGGTAATGTTCTGTTTTAAAACTATTTTAGTCAGGCTAAGCTTATGTTAGATTGTGTTCTGCTATAAATGACTTAACGTATAGGCACAGACGTGTTATTCAGCCACTTTCACTCCCGGTAAAAGATTGATGTGATTATTTTCAGTTTCATAAGGTCTTTTTACAGCATCAATAATGTAGATTTATATTTAGTTTAACAACAAAACATCAGTAAATAGCGCTATTCCGCTTAACCTGCTTTATTGGGCTGAAGTTGCTTTTATGTTCACATTGGGTCATTTTTGAACAATGACAGCCTTCCTATACTGTTTACCATGCTACTCTGAATATTCGCTCTGAAATAGCATGTAAGTGTGGCTAAGTAATAAGTGTAATTTCTGCAAGGTGCTGGCACTAACTAACTGGCGAATGACATGAACTAGTTGGTTGTCTGTCTGCTGTTGTGACGCGGTGCGGGTGCTCTCGATTTCAGGGGTGTGGCTTTGAATCACAGTCCCTCCCCGCCGACCAAAGATAATATGCTAAGCGGTTAGCATTTTGGCAGATCACCTACTGCACCTTTAATGTTAGCAAATTTACAATTGCTGGAAAAGTAGTTATATATTCCAGTATATTAGAGGTTGCAACAATTTGTGTGAGTCAACTTATTTTGGAGATGTGTAAGAATTTGCGAAAGTGTTGTAAGTTTTACCATGATTGCGGAGTATGGATTACTGCCAGATAAGAAAAGCAAAAACTATCAAGTAAAAACTGCCAGTGCAGTTTTAGGTGAAACATAAATACTAACTAAATTGTGAGAATTAAACAGAAAGCACATGTCATTACTGAAGACCCTTAAACAAAACATTTCAGCCATCAAAAAGACATTTCAGGCAGCCTCAATAACGAATAATGTGTATCACATGTCATTTGTGCTAATCGCCGTTATAAATTTAAATGCTAAGGTTTAAGCATGAATATGGTTATTTCCGTTTTTAATGTAATCTTTGTGATAATGTTGAATGTGTTTGGGTTTTTTGTGACATACATGATGTGGATCTAATAATGTGATGAAGCCAAATATAATTTCTACTGGTGGATAATAATGATTGAATGAATAATGTGGGTATTTTATTATTATTATTATTATTATTATTATTATTTAAAATAAATCTTAAATGTTAATGTTAAAATAACAGCAGTTTAAGTTACTGATGAATCAATATTCATTTTTGGATGAACTAATATTTGATTTTTCTCAAAGACGTTTTCACTAGGGCTGTCAAGCAATGAGATTTTTGAATGAATATTAATGACATGATGTAGCAATTAATTATATTAAATTAAAATTAATCACAATTCATTTGCACATTTAATTTGGATGAGAATTGTTTTGTTGTTTTAGATTGACTTTGGATTGTATTTGACTAAATTATAAGTTAGTGTTTATTTTTGGATGAACTGATGTTTTAAAAGAAGATTTCCTGAGACATGCCTTCGCTGTAAAACTGGCAAGCTATTATTTTTTTTTTATTATTTAATTATTTACATGATGGGGCTGCATGATGGCGCAGTGGGTAGCATGTTCGCCTCACAGCAAGAAGCTCGCTGGTTCGAGCCTCGGCTGGGTCAGTTGCCGTTTTATGTGTGGGGTTTGCATGTTCTCCCCGTGTTCCGGTTTCCCCCACAAGTCTAAAGTCGTGGTGTAGGTGAATTGGGTAGGCTAAATTGTCCGTAGTGTGTGTGTGTGAATGTAAGAGCATATGGGTTTTTCCCAGTGGTAGGTTGCAGCTGGAAGGACGTCTGCTCCGTAAAACATATGCTGGATAAGTTGGCGCTTCATTCTGCTGTGGCGAACCCTTATTAATAAAGGGACTAAGGCCAAAAGTGATGAATAAAAATAAATATTTAAATCAATTGATTTAAAAATCAATGTTTAGTTTGCTTGCATAGACTTTCTATGTATATTAAATCGCAACATCTTTTATATTATATTATATTATATTATATTATATTATATTATATTATATTATATTATATTATATAATATTATATATTGTATTGTATTGTATTGTATTGTATTATATTATATTATATTATATTATATTATATTATATTATATTATAGTATAGTATAGTATAGTATAGTATAGTATAGTATAGTATAGTGTAGTATAGTATGTTATGTTATGTTATGTTATGTTATGTTATGTTATATTATATTATAGTCTTCAGAGTCCATGTATTAGCTTTGTTTAAAAGAACAGACCTGTTTTTGGTCTAAATATAAATAATATAGAGCATTTTTTGCAGAGGACAATGTTCAGCGAGCACCGACCCTCCCAAAGCTATTTTCACTTTTGGATGAAGTATTCATTTAATTTGACCAGGGTGTCTCTGGTGGCAAACTCACAGCCCACTCTGTGTTTTCACCTCATGGCTTCCATCCATCCATCCCTCGTCTCTCTTTCCTGTTCACTGCTTATCTGTTTGCCACTGATTACTTTTTGATGCATCTGACGGCAGTGGCTTTGAACCATGGCCTTCTGTAACTGTGCTCAACTCTATACGGTGGATGCTTTATCTGGTCTTCGTGGCTCATGTGTTTGTTCCTCTCCAGCTACCAACATTCAGCAGTCTGTGAGCCCTGTAAATGCTGACATTACTACACCGTCACCAGGAGATAACGCTCAAATAGGATTATAGCATTGCTCCTGTTTGGGCTCAAATGTTTTTAGGAATGAGAGCTAAATAGCCAGTTATTAAGAGCTTAAGGTGTATAAAGGATATGATTTTTGTAATAAATATTAACAACATTTAGAAACAAAATTTAGATCCAAATAATAAAATTTATAAATGAATAAAATAAAAAAAAAGAATAATAAATAACTATTTTTTCTGTTTGTTTAAACTACTCAATTAAATGAGCTGAAACATCACAATTCTTGAATTGTTTTAGGGGACAACTTAATTGTCTTATGTTCAACCAACTTAAATTTGTAAAAATATGTTAACTTTATTCCTTCATGCTGTCCCAATACAAATCGATTGCGTGGAACCCAAAATTTTGTAGTGTTGAACATGTCCCCTTTTATTATTTCTTTGTTACTTATTTTTTATGAAATTATTAAATGGAATTGCTATATTGAAACAAATTCCAAATCAAAGATAATAAAATAAATAAATAAATCTTTAAATGAGCCAAACTAAGATCGCTTTTCATCTTGGAATTTTCCATTTTATTTTTATTATTTTAATTAATCTTTATAAGAAACAGCATATTTATGTTTTCTGGCACAAGTTGAGATCTCTGCGCAATGTTCTCCACTGATGAAATATTATTTTGGATATACTAAAATACTGTGAAATATTATTGTATTTCAAAATAACCTTTCTAATTTGACATATTTATCATTTATCTGCAGTATCTACAGTATGCAATGCAATATCTTTTCAGAAGATATAATAGCATAATGATCAATAAACATGCCTTATCATTTTTAGTGTTAAGGACAGTTCTATTATATTTGTGCTTACTTAGATCATTTTAAATAGATTTTATGATGAATAGATAATGTGAATTCTTAATGAACTGAATTCATTTAAATAATATACTGTATCATAACTTATTTGCTGTCAGATTTGATCAAATTTAAGTTTCTATGATGTTTCACCATAAAAATATGATTTGTTTTGACAAAATCTTGCAGATATTACTAGTTAAAAGTTTAACATATAAGGATTTGTTGTTCTTTCGGAAAAGAACAGACTCTACTAATCAAGGCTGGCTTTATTTGACTAAAAAAATACAATGTTAATTGCATAATAGTATAGTTGTGGTTGTTAATGGTGGTTTATTCTGCCGTGGTGACCCCTGATAATTCAGAGACTAAGCCAAAAGAAGATAAATGAATTGAGTTTTATTTTATATTATAATTTTATATTTTTTAATGTCAATATATTTTAAATATTTTCCTTTCTGATTTACAGTACAACTTTCAAAAATGTTTAAAAACAGCACTTTTTAAACATTTCTTTATATCACTTTTAAACAATTTATTGCATTTATTATGGGGAAAAAGTGAACAAAAAAAAAAAAAAACGAACAAAAAATATAGATTAATGGTACTTTTTTAATAGTAACTTATGGTTTCCTAAGAAGCAGGACTGAAATGTTGCTTTAGAACAATGGTTCTCAAAGTGGGGGTCGGGACCCCCCGAAGGGTCGTGGGACAATGAAGGGGGGTCGCCTGGTGATTTCCAAAAATGTATTTATTTTGATTAAACCATAAGAATTACCATATTTTATCCATAACCTACTGAAGAGAAAAAATATCGTCGTTTATACCATATAGTTACTATGATAGCTTATAGTTACTACGTACTTCTATTGGATTGCAACCCCTGTGGTAATTACATTATATTAAAGACACAGCAATAGTGTCAGATGCAGCAGATTTCATAACACCTGGTAAAACTTTGTTGCCCATTTACAGCTCTCATACATTAAAAAAATTAAAAGAAGAATAGACTTGGGTCCATTGGTGAGTGTGCTCCATTGCATGCAAGGTTTCTGTATTTATAAACACCTCAGAATATATTGGGGGTCGCGACTCACTGGCATTGTCATTTTGGGGGTCGCGGCCTGAAAAGTTTGGGAACCCCTGCTGTAGAATAATATCAGAATAATTATGAATCATGTGACTTAACTTAAAGACTTAGTAAAGCTATTAAAAAAAAAAAAACGTTCCAAAATTTTCAAAAACAATAACAAATATTGTTTCAAAAATGGCCAAACATTTGGCTGGTAGTGAATATGTATATATTTCAAACACGTCTTTTCTCATTGCATTTAAGACATAAGAGCAAGTATAAAATATTTTACATGCTTATATATACAGCGATGATGGATTATATATTTTTATTAGTGTAGATGAATTAATTAAATCATTCTGACAAGGCTCATGATCATGTTCTGAATAAACTCAAGCAAATTAAACCCCATAAAATCCCTCTTTACATTTTCTCACAAAAATATTCATGATAATTAAAATCATGTGTTTTTAACCATTGAATAGCTTCTGTGAAAATGGGTCACAAAATAAATAGAATTTAATCAAAACTTGCCAAATTATTAATATATATATATATTTTTTTTATCAAATATTATATTATTATTATGCTTTTATAACAGATAGAAAAACCGTTTTATAAGGGTATGTGTTAATCAGCAAGCTCAGCAGGATGTAAAAACAAATGCTCCCTATAATCAGATGCTCTTTGCTTTTTGTACAGATTCCAGGAGACCTGAGCCAGACCTCTGATGACCCCAGCCTTTCTGACTTTGAGACGTAAGTGGCCTCCTACTCGTTGCTCTTTTTATATTTCTATATATTTACACTGGAGGTGGTGTACATGAGCCTCCTTTGAGGATCAGATCGATAGTATGGAATTCCATCAAGCGATGCCTCTGAAAACACTGTGCTAAAAATAGTGAAGCTGAACGCTGCTTCTGCTTTTACATTCAGAGCCTTTACGCACATCTTCCACACATATATAACCTTTGTACATGAAAAGCTGTCAGAAATGGCTAAAAGAAATGATGTTAAACTGCTTTTGTCATACAAAAAGGCTATTATTTTTTATCTTTGACAAACAGCATCAATATTTCTCTGTTTTTTCTCACAAAGAGATAAAGTGATTATAGCTACACGATGTCTCTTAAGTTAATTAGACTATCTTCATGTGTTTTTTTTTTTTCATCTTCTTGTATCTTGAAGAACTCAACGTGCTCTCGTCAACGTGTGGATCCCCTCTGTGTTTCTTCAAGGTCGGGCTGCCAACGCCTACCATGTATATCAGGTAGCTCTTTTTAATCAAATTTTAATCTACCATGTACTACCGGAAAATTTGTAATCTTCTTTTAAGCACACTTTTTCCTCACACTTTGTAATTGAATTGCTCCGTCAGCTGGATTGCAGGGTGCTGAAAGTTAGCTGACTTTAACAAGTTGATCTGTGTTTTTTTATTTCCCTCTCTTGCCCCCCAAAAAATTTCAGATGAACAAAGTATTAAGGGGTGTGACAAAAATGCCATCAAAAGTCAAATAAATAAATGAATAGCACTTGAGATCACCTGAACCTCGTCTCAACTTAGTTTAAATTTCCAGTAGTGGGGACAGAGACGTAGTCGAAGATTGGTGGGTGGAGATGGGGTAAATGCCTCCTCAGATATAAGTCGCTTTAGACAAAAGGGTCTGCTAAATGACTAAATGTAAATGCATAAATAATAATAATAATAATAATAATAATAATAATAATAATAATAATAATAATAATAATAATAATATGGCATTCAAATTCAAAGCAGGTGAAACAGGTGAAAGTGAAAATAAGCAAAGTTTTACTTTATTCTCTGCATATTGCATCAGGTGTTGTGGCTAAATGTATATATTTGGCATGAAAGACAGCATAGATGCATTTAAAAATGTACCTACTGTCAGGTTCGGTGAGGGGAAAAAGGAGCGAGGACTCAGGTGCAGCAATATTGGGTCTTTATTAATTATAAAATGAAAACAAAAAGGCAAAACAAACAACCCGAGGGGGAAAACTCTAATAAAACAAATAAACGAACAAACAAACTTTACTGGACTGGCAGGACAAGACAGGGCTGGACACAAGACAGGAAACTATCGACGACGAACTGACAAAGGACTGAAAACATGAGGGGGATTATAAAGCAAAAAGTAAATTGACACACAGGTGAACACAATTAACTAATAATGGGTTGACAAGGAGGGTGGGACTAGACAATAGACGGGAGAGCGCATGACACAGAGAGACAATACAAGCCATGCGCTCACATAACACAACACTGAAGCACACGACAAAAGCACGTGACCACAATGTAAACACCGAGCCACGTGCTTTGACAAAAGACGCATGACACGAGCACACGATAGATAAACACCTTACCGTGCGCTCACACATAAGCAACGCGCATGCTTCATCTCAGCGCCAACCAAAACTGAAACCAACTAGACGGAGGCGCCGAGAATAAAGCAGCGCGCTGCTGACAGAACAAACACAAACACTAGTACAAGAGCGCGCGCGTCTGAGGGACGCAGAGCGTGCGCGGCCACATCATGTGGCAGCGCGCACACTCTGCGTACACCCACGACGGCGCGCGCGCACACAGAGACAGAAACAGGACCAGACATTGAGTAGTGTCAGAGCTCTGCCACCAAAACAAGAATTTACAAGACCAAAGTGGCAGAACCCTGACACTAGCCCCCCCCCAAAAGGGACGCCACCTGGCGTCCCTAAAGGGAACATCCAACAAGGTACAAGACAGACAAGAAACACTACAAGACAACAAAACAGGCAACATCAACAGACACAAGACAGGGAGGTGAACAGGCAAGACGACATGAAGGGAGGGAGGGAGGGAAGCCAAGCCAGACCCAACAAGACAAACAAGGGAGGGATGGGAGGGCAAGACCAGGGAGGATCAGGAGGGACAGTCCAGGGTGGATTCAGTGGGTCGGGGGCCCCGGCAGGGAGCCAGGGTGGAGCCGGAGGGTCCGTCCAGGGTGCAGGGAGGGAACACCAGGGAGGAGCAGGAGGGACGACCCAGGGAGAGTCTATCAGGGGAGACAAGGCAGGAGGTCGGTGGGGAGCCGGCTGGGCTGGAGGCCTGTGGGGAGCCGGCTGGGCTGGAGACCAGAGGGAGCCGGCAGGGCAGGAGACCAGAGGGGAGCCGGCAGGGCAGGAGACCAGAGGGGAGCCGGCAGGGCAGGAGACCAGAGGGGAGCCGGCAGGGCAAGGCGCCGGGCTGGGACCGGCAGGACGAGACGTCTGGGTGGGGCCGGCAGGGCAGGGCGCCGAGCTGGGGCTAGCTGGGCGAGACGTCTGAGTGGCGCCGGCAGGGCGAGACGTCTGGGTGGCGCCGGCAGGGCGAGACGTCTGGGTGGCGCCGGCAGGGCGAGACGTCTGGGTGGCGCCGGCAGGGCGAGACGTCTGGGTGGCGCCGGCAGGGCGAGACGTCTGGGTGGTGACGGCAGAGCAAGGAGCCGGGCTGGGGCCGGCTGGGCGAGACGTCTGAGTGGCGCCGGCAGGGCGAGACGTCTGGGTGGCGCCGGCAGGGCGAGACGTCTGGGTGGCGCCAGCAGGGCAAGGAGCCGGGCTGGGGCCGGCTGGGCAAGGCGTCTGGGTGGCGCCGGCAGGGCAAGGCGTCTGGGAGGCGCCGGCTGGGCAAGGCGTCTGGGTGGTGTCGGCAGGGCAAGGAGCCGGGCTGGTGCCGGCAGGGCTAGACGTCTGGTTGATGCCGGCAGAGCAAGGAGCCGGGCTGGGGCCGGCAGGGCGAGACGTCTGGGTGGTGCCGGCAGGGCAAGGAGCCGGGCTGGGGCCGGCAGGGCGAGACGTCTGGGTGGCGCCGGCAGGGCGAGACGTCTGGGTGGCGCCGGCAGGGCGAGACGTCTGGGTGGCGCCGGCAGGGCGAGACGTCTGGGTGGCGCCGGCAGGGCGAGACGTCTGGGTGGCGCCGGCAGGGCGAGACGTCTGGGTGGCGCCGGCATGGCAAGGAGCCGGACTGGGACCGGCACTGAGCTGCGCTCTGGGGCTGGAGCCGACACTGGAGGGCGCTCTGGGGCTGGAGCCGACACTGGAGGGCGCTCTGGGGCTGGAGCCGACACTGGAGGGCGCTCTGGGGCTGGAGCCGACACTGGAGGGCGCTCTGGGGCTGGAGCCGACACTGGAGGGCGCTCTGGGGCTGGAGCCGACACTGGAGGGCGCTCTGGGGCTGGAGCCGACACTGGAGGGCGCTCTGGGGCTGGAGCCGTTGTGGTGGAGGAGCCCTTTCTCCTCCGACGCTTCCTTGGTCTGGGTGGCAGGAAGCTGGCCACCTCTTCAGACACTGCAGTGTACTCCACTGCCTGCAGGACTGGTGCAGTGTCTGATGCGGGTGCCTCAGTAAGTGATGCTGCAGCCAGGATGGTAACTGAAAGGGCTGCAGCAGGTTCAGTCACCTCTGGGTGGGCGACAGGTGAGGCTGACCCGTTCTTCCTCCTCCGTCTCTGTTGGTGGGTCATCGGAGGACTGGGGATTTGGCAGTCTGTAAGTGGGAGGGGCGGTGGACCAAGTGGAGGCAGGCCACCATTTCCCTGGCTGTGGTAGACATAGCTCACAAACTGCCAGAATGTCAATATCCCCAGCATTCCCATCTCCCAGGCCTGAAGGGGGCTGTTGAGTCCAGCGTTGAACGCCTCCTTCAGTGCAGTGTTTGTAGATTCAAGCCCCTCTGCAGCGTAGATGAACTGGTATGCAAACTCCTTCACTGTAGATACCCCTTGATGGAGTGAAAGGAGTCTGCCTAAACGCTCCTTCTGCTGGCATGCAGAGGGACGAGAAGTGGGAGATGGGAAAAGGAAGATACCCATTTTCTGCTGAGTCCTCTGTTTTGGTCAGTTCGTACTGTCAGGTTCGGTGAGGGGAAAAAGGAGCGAGGACTCAGGTGCAGCAATATTGGGTCTTTATTAATTATAAAATGAAAACAAAAAGGCAAAACAAACAACCCCGAGGGGGAAAACTCTAATAAAACAAATAAACGAACAAACAAACTTTACTGGACTGGCAGGACAAGACAGGGCTGGACACAAGACAGGAAACTATCGACGACGAACTGACAAAGGACTGAAAACATGAGGGGGATTATAAAGCAAAAAGTAAATTGACACACAGGTGAACACAATTACCTAATAATGGGTTGACAAGGAGGGTGGGACTAGACAATAGACGGGAGAGCGCATGACACAGAGAGACAATACAAGCCATGCGCTCACATAACACAACACTGAAGCACACGACAAAAGCACGTGACCACAATGTAAACACCGAGCCACGTGCTTTGACAAAAGACGCAAGACACGAGCAAAAGATAGATAAACACCTTACCGTGCGCTCACACATAAGCAACGCGCATGCTTCATCTCAGCGCCAACCAAAACTGAAACCAACTAGACGGAGGCGCCGAGAATAAAGCAGCGCGCTGCTGACAGAACAAACACAAACACTAGTACAAGAGCGCGCGCGTCTGAGGGACGCAGAGCGTGCGCGGCCACATCATGTGGCAGCGCGCACACTCTGCGTACACCCACGACGGCGCGCGCGCACACAGAGACAGAAACAGGACCAGACATTGAGTAGTGTCAGAGCTCTGCCACCAAAACAAGAATTTACAAGACCAAAGTGGCAGAACCCTGACACTTATGGTCTTTTGAATGTAAACAAATTGGGAAATCAGTTCTAAGAAAAGTGTTCTATTGTGAGACCCTCTGCAGCAAAATGCGTTTCGGTTACAGTTTTATCTAAACTTTTTTCCACAGCTTTACTGCTTTCAAGTTCTGTCAATTTATTGTTAATTTGACCCAGTTTGGTTGGTTGGAAATATCATTGACTTTGTATTGTAAATATATTTGCTTCTCTGTTGTGTTGGGCATACCAAGTAGAGGTCTGCATTTCCGCGGGAACCAATCAGATGTTTGCGGCATGGGAATAAATTTCCAAATAAAATGCAGTAGCAGCCGTTAACTCTGGTGTCATCTGAATGATAGCGGGTGGTCTAACAATATAACGTTCCCGAGTCCTGGTATTATTTCAGAACAGCATACCTCCTTTTTTATCAATCTGTTTTTATGATCGGCTAAGCATTAAATTAAAATGTTATAATTATGTATTCTAAGATGTACAATGAAAGCTATTATAAAGGCTTAACTAGGGTTTATAGTTCTATTTTCTAAATAAAGATTGTTTTTATTTTTTTATTTGTTCATTTGAATAGGATTATATCAAAATAACAATATATCC